GACCCGCCTGCTGCTCCCCTCAGCAGTGTACTTCATCAGTTGGCCTGTTCTATTCCCTGCTCTGTCTCTGGTGAATCCCCTCACTGCCCCTGCACCTCTGGCCTGTACCCCAGTTCTGTATGCAAAAATTAATAAGGAAATTACCCCGGGCCTGGAGCAGGGATTAGGTAGGATGGTGGATATGCACTGACAGACAGCTTGTCATACACCGACTATTTCACACACACTCTTGTGAATGCCACCTGTGGTGGGCCAGAGTAGATTCTAGAATCACCTTAGAGACAGGGTGGCAACAGCAGGAGGGAGTTTCTCTCTCTCTCACTCACACACACACACACACACACACACACACAACCCCAACATACAAGAGTCCAGGGACAGATGCAGGGGACAGAAAGAATACAAAAGCTAAGAACCCTGTAGAGGCACCACTCAGGGAGCTGTTCTAGCCCTGTCTGCCTCTGAGACACTCACACACACTCACACACACACACACACACACACACTCACACATGCATTCGCGGAGCAGGGGCTGCTGTTTCACAGCAAGTGTTCTAGGAAGAGCCAAGGGAATAAAAGGAAATAAAATGCCCGTCGAGAGCAGTGACCCCAAAGCAAGAGAAGGGAAGCAGCAGCTGGAACCCAACAGGCCTGAGGAGAAGGGACAGAGGAGGGGCCAGACAGACACCTGCACACACCTTGGAGGCCCTGTACGGGGGGCCGGGGCGAGTAAAGAAACAGAGGAGAGGACCCCGTTGTAGGAGCCACACACAGGCGCACATGTGACTGACTAGTCACATCTTCATGGAAAAATTAAGCCAGTGCCTGAACAGATGACACGCAGAGCTCAGCTAAAACTGAGAGGCAGAGTGAAGAGGGACGCAGAGACAGACCCAGAGACACAGAAAGACAAAGGAAGAACAAAGCAGAAAGACAGGCACAGAAACAGAGACAGGAAAACAGAGACGGGGTGTGAAGGAGTGGCCACAGTGCAGATGCAAACGGGAGCCCTGCCAAAGCCGGCCCTGAGGGCAGCCCCAGGAGAGGGGCCTGGAGAGGAAACGGAGATGGAGGCCCAATGAGGAAGGAAAAAGAGAGAAATGCACAGAGGAAGAGAAAAGCATGCACTCATGTGGCCCAGACAGACGTGAACGAGTGAAGAGCTCCCTGGCCGAGGAAGAGGCCCTCCCACAGCCAGGCTAGATCCGGGCAACGGGGAGGGGTCAGCAAGGACCACGTGCCACACACCACACACACCACACACATCACACACCTACCATGCAATGCCCCTGCAGGATACACAGCACACACGTCACACACATCACCGTGACATAGTCCACATGCCCCCCCACAGCCACAGTGCCGCATGTACCACGCACATCACGTGTCGTGTGTGCCACACATGTTGTATACTTGGAGGCCCTGTATACATGCCACACACATGCCACACACACACACACCCATTCACACACATCACACACACGTTTGCATATATATCTGAACACAGGCTGCCCAGAGCAGAGACAAAATTGAGATAAAGCCCAGGAGGGAAGGAGATGGCAGGTAAACACAGGAAATAAAGATGTTTTCTGTGCGCCTTCCTGCTCTGTATCACTCCCTCTCTCTCTCACACACGCACACTCCACAGGGGACAGAATGGGAAAGATACAGAAACGGTAGAGGGTACGGAAGGCAAAGTCTGTCGGGGACAGCATTCAGCCAGGCCTGGCACAGAGAAGCTGCTCTGCGCTCCTGCAACCCACAAAAATGTTTTCATTACAGGTGAAAATGAACTTCCGGTTCAAGGGAAATGTTTTCCTATGTACCATTAATACATTCGTCTGCTGACTCAGGTCCATGAAAATCATAATGGGGCCCTGTTGGGCATCACCTAAGGCCGAAGCTAGGACAGACCTTACGCAGAGTGCAGCTCCAGGGCATGTGGGAGAGGCAGGAGCGGTGAGTGTATGAAACAATGACCAGGCCAGCAGGCCAAGCAAGGGCAGAGGGGAGACCAGAGAGGCACACTCAGGGAGACTGGCCAACAGAGAACAGGACTCAGGCTGGGGACACGCCCGGGCGTGTCCCCGTCCCACTACACAGGAGGGGTGGGGCACACTCGACTGTGTCTTTCCTATTCTGCTAGAAGGATATATATATTTTAAGATTTATTTATTTGTGCATACAGAACTGGGGTACAGGCCAGAGGTGCAGGGGCAGGGAGAGGCTTCACCAGAGACAGAGTGGGGAGCAGAACAGGCAGATGAACGAAGTACACTGCTAAGGGGAGCAGCGGGCAGATCAGGAGAGGTCTGCCGCGCCATGTGGGTCACCTCTGGGAGGGGATCATGAGGCTGCGGCCAGCTTGCAGTGATGCGTCCTACCCCACTGCACCACCAAGGAGGGCCCAGTTCCCAATTCTTGAGTCACAATGGGACTCAAATTTTGCCCATTTTTAAAAAAGATTTATTTATTTATTCATATAGAATTGGGGTACAGGCCAGAGGTGCAGGGGCAGTGAGAGGATTCACCAGAGACAGAGTGGGGAGCAGAACAGGCCGACTGATGAAGTACACTGCTGAGGGGAGCAGCGGGCGGGTCAGGAGAGGTCTGCCGTGCCCTGTGGGTCACCTCCGGGGCAGGCGGGAATCAAACTCATGCTGAAGTGGCTTTAGCTTCTTAGTGCTGTGCGTTAACCCGCTGCGCCACCAGGGAGGGCCCTAGAAGGGTATTTTTATGGAAAAAAAAACTTATTTTTCTGAAAAAGAAAAAAGTGCATGCAGAATACGAGCAAAATCATCTGAAAGGTGGGAACACAGGGATCCCAAAGCCTCCACTCCCCTGAGGTGGACTGAACACTGTACAGGACTGTGATGGGGAAGCAGACGGAGGGGCAGGAGGTGATCCCCACAGAGTGGACATCTCTGCATCTCTACTCTGCCTCTCCTGCGCAGAGTGGAGAAAAATCAAACTGAACAGAGGCCTGGAGTGAGGAAAGCAAAGCCTGAGGGGTCAGACGGGAGGGAGAGACAGAGCAAGCTTTCTGACTCCCCTGCCCTAATCAGACACCACCAAGCTGGCCAGACCCCCAAGAACCTCCCCTCTCACTCAAGCTCTTGTTCTAGTGGGCGAGCTTCATGAACCACCAGGACCACTCCTGCAAGTTCAGAAATCAGGGGAGGAGGCAGGAAGGAGAAAGAGAAAGAGAGAGACTAGCAACAATGAGAAACAGAGACATACAGAAAAGGGACTGAAAGTCAGAAGCACACAGAAAAGTAGGGAGTAGAAAGCACAGAAAACAACTGTAGCACCAGAGCCAGCCAAAGAGAGAGGGAGTGGGGAAGGCACAGAGAAAAGCACAGGTGGATGAAGACAGACACTAACAGAGAGCAACGGAGACAGAAGGGCGGAGCACAGGGGTGCTCTGAGCCTCCGGGGCACTGCCCAGGGCAGGTGAGTACAGTGTCCTGCGCAGTGCTGCGGCTTCCTCACCCTCAGCCCTCTTGCACACGCTCCAGTGCCTCCGGGCACATGAGGGCCGAGGGGTGGTGGTGACTGTGTGCACGCGGAATCCTCACAGGACGGGTCCCCTGGACACACTCTGCCCCACACACGCCCACAGGAACCCGGCTACACGCCCCAGTGCCAGGCCCAGGAGCCGGGGGGTTCCCACAGAGCACTTGGGTTTTGCGCACGCAACACACAAATCCACGCACACTCAGCCGGAGCACACGGGCCACCGCCGCACACGGGCCACCGCCTCACGCGTGCCCCATACGTCCAGGTACTGCGTCGGTGCTCACACACACCCCACTCGTGTGATGTGGGCGTGTACAGCACACGCAGCCATGGGCAGACCTGTCTCCCACTCGCACCAACACAGACACCCAGCGAGACACCAGACGGCCTCCGCCCACGTGGCGTGGCCGCACCCTCCCGTGAGCAAACAGAAGACACGGGGCCCACACACGCCCACGCCCCGTCACGGAAAGCCCAGGGGTCTGTGGGTGCCCACTGCCCGGGTCACTGTAGTGTCTGGCTTGTGAAAGTGCTCCGTAACACAGGAATGCCCCGGTTTTGAATTTGTTTTTACAAGCAGAGGTGACTCATGCGACGTGATCAGACATACATGCTTTCATGTTGCGGGTGAAACTTTCCAGGTTGTGTCCTCTGGAGGTAGGAGAGGAAGGAGGAAGGTGGCATCATTGGATCTTTCTCCAGGGTGTGCAGGACTTGGTCCATCTGGCCTAGGCCTGGCAGGAAACACACCCCACCAGCCGCCCAACGCAGGCCCGGCCCAGCCCCAGGACGCTGCCCCACCGCCCACCACCGACATCTGAGTCCGGCCCTGCCCACACTGGAGTCCCAGGTTTCGCTTGGTGCATTCCAGATGCAGACAAGCCTTCTACCAGATGTGCTCGCTGCCCAGCACGAGTGAGATGTGCACACACAGCTGCATTCCAGGTGCTGGCCGATGGGATCTGGCTGGGGGTCCCAGGCCATGTTCCCCGGACAAACGTCCTGATGACCAGCGTCTGTCCTCACATCCACCCCTTCCCTCTCCCACAACAACCCGGCGACCACATTCTGAGGTCTGTTTGTGTTTAATCAGACAATATGCAAAGTATGTACAACCAATTCTGGGTCCCCCCCTCCCCCCTGAGCCTGGGCCGTGGAATGCAGGGCCATGAGGTCCTGCCCAGAGCCGGGGTTCCCCTAGGCCTCTGCATAGTCATCTGAAATCTACAAAACACTGTTTGTTTACAAAAAAAAAAAAAAAAAAAAGGACAGTATTAGGCGCCTGGCACAGAGAAGCTGCTCTGCGCTCCTGCAGCCCACAAAAATGTTTTCATTACAGGTGAAAATGAACTTCCGGTTCAAGGGAAATGTTTTC